ATAAATATATAGTTTCTACTAAAGAAAAAAGAAACAAAATAAAGCGCAATTGCATTTATTCCTAGTATGTTTCAACATTTAAGCAATTCAGTTAGCATTTTTTGTGACATAAAGTGAAGCAGGAACACATCTACAATCTATATTATATCTATTAATCCCTGCAGTTACGACATGCTTATTTTGTGTCAAGTGCTGTGCTGAGCTGTTGACATCTGCCAACTCATTTAGCCCTTCCAGAAGCCCTTCCTTCATTGGCATGTGCAACTGGATTATGAAGTGAGGATGGGAGCCTCCATCTGATATTTATGAGTCTCTTCCTTTGTGTGACAAGTGAATCTATGTAATGCTAACTCATCTCACCCAGATAAGCAAAGTTGTAAGGACTCCTGGAGGTGTTGGATGGTGTCTGAGCCAGTTTCATCCGGAAAACGATTATCACAAGTTTCAGATCAATTTTGGGGGAGCTTTCCCCAAACAATCTCCAGAATCATCTTATCTTCACTCTCTTTCAAATATCGATAAAAAGGGACAAAGGCTCTTTTCATGAAGAAATGTTCATACGCCGCAGCTGTTCAAAATACAAGTAGTCTCTTTGGTTCATCATCTGGAATCACATAGAACTCCAAGGTTGAGAGGAGGGGTGGGGAGGGATGGTGGATGCACGCCTCTGACAAGCAGGAAATGTAGCTCCTCTTGCTCTGTGACCGGGTCAGGACACCTGATCTCCCAAGCTGCCCTTCTAATAGAGATTATAAAAGAGACCATGAGACCAAAGAATTGCATGACGGGTACCCATTAGAGCATGCCTTGCCCTTTGCCTTCCAGACTCCAGCCTCTAAACTTAACTTTCTCCTGGCTGACAACACAAATTGGAGGCTAAAATGCCAGGCAGGGATCTGTCTTGGCCTTTTGTTACATGGTCTACCTCCTTCAGATTTCCAAGACAACTGGAGCCATGCTGGCAGAGAACTTGCTAAATCTTAACAGACGTTGATGGACTCATTGTTTATTCTCTGAGTTCACTAGTATAAGCTGCATAAAGTCAGGGACCTGCCTGTCCTCATCACCGCTACATCACCATTCCTAGCAAGTGTCAGGCACATCTCAGGCACTCAGGAAATGATGGCAGGAAGGAGGGAAGGGAGGAAGGGAGGAAGGGAGGGAGGGAGGGAGGAAGGAAGGAAAGAAGGAAGGAAGGAAGGGAGGGAGGGAGGGAGGGAGGGAGGGAAGGAAGAGAGGGAAGGGGAGAGGAGAGACGAAAAGAAGAAATAAGTCATCCTAGACCCTAAACAAGATGGAGAAACCCAAAAAATGCAGTACATTAGAATTCCTTTTGGTATCAAAATCCAATACTGCAGTTGGAAGAATTCTCATAAATATTACTGAGCTTGGCCTCTCCTCTACTCAAGTCCAGAGGGTTAAGCGGTTTACTGTGGTCACACACAAGTGTGCAGCATAGGCCTCCTGACCCTGGGTCCAAGAGCTTTTCTCTTATACTCTGTGGCTTCTCAGGTGAGTTTTTCCGGCATCTGCATTAACATGCTCTGTTTTCAAAAACCACAGTGTACTTCACTTAGGGCAATTAAGAAATAAATGATGTATTTATTTATTTAATGAAGTAGGTGGATAGAATCAGTTTTGATTATTTTCTCCTCTGAGTAATTTTTTTATTTTTATTTTTTAACTTTTAGGTTCAGGGGTACATGTGAATGTTTGTTATATAGGTAAACTGTGTATCACAGGGGTTTGGTGTACAGATTATTTCATCATTCAGGTAATAAGCATAGTACTTAATAAGTAGTTTTTTGATCTTCATCCAGTTTTGAATTTTGGTAACAAAGCATTTCCTGTTTCTGGTATGCATATATGTGGATTTGCATGTGTTTTCCCTTGTAGTTTAAAGAACAGCACAAGATAAAAATCAGTAGGGGTTTTCTCACCAAAGGAGAATAATTTTAGGGGAATTCAAGGGCTCAAATTCTCAACAATGTGCTTTTATTTAAAAAAAAAAAAAAAAGTTTAATGAGATCCCATTTGTCAATTTTGGCTTTTGCTGCTGTTGCTTTTGGTGTTTTAGTCATGAAGTCTTTGCCCATGCCTATGTCCTGAATGGTACTACCTAGGTTTTCCTCTAGGATTTTTATGGTATTAGGTCTAACATTTAAGCCTCTAATCCATCTTGAATTAATTTTCGTATAAGGAGTAAGGAAAGGATCCAGTTTCAGCTTTCTACTTATGGCTAGCCAATTTTCCCAGCACCATTTATTAAATAGGGAATCCTTTCCCCATTTCTTGTTTCTCTCAGGTTTGTCAAAGATCAGATGGCTGTAGATGTGTGGTATTATTTCTGAGGACTCTGTTCTGTTCCATTGGTCTATATCTCTGTTTTGGTACCAGTACCATGCTGTTTTGGTTACTGTAGCCTTGTAGTATAGTTTGAAGTCAGGTAGCGTGATGCCTCCAGCTTTGTTCTTTTGACTTAGGATTGTCTTGGAGATGCGGGCTCTTTTTTGGTTCCCTATGAACTTTAAAGCAGTTTTTTCCAATTCTGTGAAGAAAGTCATTGGTAGCTTGATGGGGATGGCATTGAATCTATAAATTAAAGAGCTTCTGCACAGCAAAAGAAACTACCATCAGAGTGAACAGGCAACCTACAGAATGGGAGAAAATTTTTGCAATCTACTCATCTGACAAAGGGCTAATATCCAGAACCTACAAAGAACTCAAACAAATTTACAAGAAAAAAACAAACAACCCCATCAAAAAGTGGGCAAAGGATATGAACAGACAGTTCTCAAAAGAAGACATTCATACAGCCAACAGACACATGAAAAAATGCTCATCATCACTGGCCATCAGAGAAATGTGAATCAAAACCACAATGAGATACCATCTCACACCAGTTAGAATGGCGATCATTAAAAAGTCAGGAAACAACAGGTGCTGGAGAGGATGTGGAGAAATAGGAACACTTTTACACTGTTGGTGGGATTGTAAACTAGTTCAACCATTATGGAAAACAGTATGGCGATTCCTCAAGGATCTAGAACTAGATGTACCATATGACCCAGCCATCCCATTACTGGGTATATACCCAAAGGATTATAAATTATGCTGCTATAAGGACACATGCACACGTATGTTTATTGCAGCACTATTCACAATAGCAAAGACTTGGAATCAACCCAAATGTCCATCAGTGACAGACTGGATTAAGAAAATGTGGCACATATACACCATGGAATACTATGCAGCCATAAAAAAGGATGAGTTTGTGTCCTTTGTAGGGACATGGATGCAGCTGGAAACCATCATTCTTAGCAAACTATCACAAGAACAGAAAACCAAACACCGCATGTTCTCACTCATAGGTGGGAACTGAACAATGAGATCACTTGGACTCGGGAAGGGGAACATCACACACCGGGGCCTATCATGGGGAGGGGGGAGGGGGGAGGGATTGCATTGGGAGTTATACCTGATGTAAATGACGAGTTGATGGGTGCAGGACACCAACATGGCACAAGTATACATATGTAACAAACCTGCACATTATGCACATGTACCCTACAACTTAAAGTATAAAAAAAAAAAAAAAAAAAAAAAGTGCCTCTACAATTTTAAAATTGAGGCAGTGGTGACGTTTAATAAAAAGATCTTGAGACTTCAAATCCTGAACTATGGCTGTGTGCAAACTAACGATTGTGACTTGGAAGAAATTATCTTCCAATTCTCAACTTTAATACCATGCCTATGAATAAGGAAACTGAGCCAATCAGGATTTCTCGGGAGATAGCAAGTGGACTGCTACCTACCTAGGAAGGGTGAGCTGCTGAGACCTGATGCCAAAATAAGAAGAGGTTCTGCAGCAAGGGAGAGGCACCTTCACACAGGGAGCAGAAGGACTCACGGCCACTCTCTCAACCTCCTAGAGTCCCTGGACCAGAACCAAGAGTTGTTGTAGGAGTGGTTTCCAAAGAGTATAATCTTAGGAGTTTCACATTTCAGATATTATATTTACACAGTGCTTTTAACTTTTTAAGTGTCTTTTTCCTGTTAATTAGTGTTAACACCCTCCTCCCCACCACAAGGACTAAAGTGCACTATTTTGGGTCCATTTTTAAAATAAGGAACCAGAGAATAAAAACGTTAGATAATCTCTGAGCCCAGAGGAGAAATCTTTTTCCTAGCCACCAGTTCCATGGTCTTTCTCCTAGACCTTTCTGGGAACTTTTTTTTTTCTTTTTTGGCAGACAAATGGTTACACTAAAAACTTAAAAATAGAAGCAAAAATATGGGAAATGGAAAACTGTATTCTAATTGCCTCCTCTGGATTTCCTACTCCTGTAAATATGGACAAATATAGTGGAATAAATAAAATTCACAAGTATTAAGGACCACCGTATTGGAAAGATGAAACCACTTCCTCACAGAGCTATCTAAAGAATAAGTACAGCTAATATGCTGCTAATTTTTAGTATACTGTTAATATTAAGTCACATGTTCTCCACCTTCTTCGGCAACCCTTTGGATGGCAGTTCCAACGGACAAAAGGATCAAAATGAAGCAGTGGTCAAAATGAAGGATCAAAACACAGTTTTGGAATAACTGGCCCCCGGGTAATGGAGAGCTGACTATCCTCCCATAACCTAACTAACTGGTTCCTTCTACCAAGTAATAAACAACTTTCTGAAAGCCACTTTTCCATCACTTAGAAAAGCACCTCTCAAGGATATCTCTAATACAGTTTTCTAGCCCCTGGGATTCAATATTTCAAGAAATACCTTTAAGCCAACTAAACCTCTAGAGATTTTTCTGTTTTCACTCAACTCTTGTTTCAGTTCCAATATTTCTAGGAAAACATTGATTGATTTACTATGGTAAATTACGAGATGTTTTTAACGTTGGATGCAATATATCTGATTTGTGATCTCTAGGCCTCAGATGTTTTATAGGAGAAGTTAAAATTCTACACTGCAGGCTGGCACGAACAGGCTCACCTGTAAGCCCATAAAACCCTACACCAGATGTGTTTCTTCTTTTCTCACAGCTCTGACTCCACTTTCCTTGATTCGTCATGATCCACATCAATAAATTAGTGATGCATAATTTCAAACAGCTGATTTCAGACTAGTCCTGAAGTGATCTAAGTGTCATGCTGAAAGGCACAGATGCTGGGGCTTGATGGAAGTTGGCTACACATGATGGTGGGAATCACAAAAGCAGAAAGGTATGCTTGATGCATCTGAAAAAAGCAAAAAAATCCTAAGCTTCCAAGTGTAATAGTTGCCTATTAGGTTGTTTTCTCTTTCAAACAGTAAGATCTGTGAGGTCTTGTGTCTGTCCTATTCATCATCAAATATTCACTACCTAGCCCTTAGCCCAGTGCAGGGGAGGGGAACAGTGAATATTTGCAGAAGGAATGAATGAAAGGTAGGCCAAATGAGCCATGAGGAGGGTGAAGCACAAGTTCAAGTTATCAAAATCTAAAGCTGAACTTTTCAACTGCTTTCCTCCTTTCTTTTCAGCGATACTTGCAAATCTCAAGAAAAGCTACTGTCATTTTTTTTTTTATTCAGTTGGGCTGAACTGCACAATCATCAACTTGCCTGTTGACTCTGCCTCTAAAGACAATAGATCTTGGGTTTAAGCTCCACATGGATCTGTTAGTGCCTTTTTTTGTTTTCCGGCCAGGGATGCAAATTACATCTATGTTTATTCCTCTTGCTATCTATGTCTTTTAATGTTTCACACTCTGCAAAGGAAAAGTACTTTGTAACATCTAATTCTAGTCCTCCCTGTCACAATTTAAACCCATCCCTATTCTGCATTGGGGGAGGACAAAACACAACTCTTGATTAACTTTCATGCCTCATTTTGATTCCTCTCTGGATCAGTTAGCTTTTGCTGTATAACAAACCACCATCATTAGTGGCTTAAAACAACAACCACTTTAATTAGCTCATGATTCTGTGTATTATCAATTTGCATTGGGCTCATTCAGGTGGTTTTACTCGAGTGATCTGGGCTCAACTGTCCTTGACTGTGCTTACTCATATATTTAGGGACTTCAAAAGGTGCCTTGAATAGCCAACTGATGGTACCTCCCTCTGCAATGTCTCTCATTCTCCAGGAAGCTGAGCCAGCATTGTTCATATGGTGGCAGAGGATAACAAAAGCTATAAAACCTTGGAAAGCCTAGTTCAGGTGTCAATTATAATTTCTGCCACATTCTATTGGTCAAAGCAAATCACTAGGCCAGCCCAGATTTAAAGGTTACACAGATAAATTTCCCTTCCTGATGGGAAGAATTTGTGACCATTTTCGTAATCTACTACACCATCCTAGGGTTCCTTCAGTTTCTTCAGTCTCATCCTTTCCTCACATTTTCCCCAAATACATCTTTTCTCTGTTCATTTGGGATGCAACCTTAAGAATTCATGTATATCTCAATTATTTATTTGATAAAAACTTATTAGGCATCTACTATATATCAAGATCCATGGTAGACTCAAAGTCTACCAAAGCATGGTTCTTAACACTTAAGGGGCTAAAGGAGAGAGGATCAAGCAAATAACTAAGAACTAGAAAGTGAAGAGAAATCAAAGAATCTTAGTAACGATGAGAACATGGTCAGGGTCATGAAACTCAAGTCGGAAATAGAGAGCCAGAAAAGATTCCTGGAAAAGATGGTGCTTAAATGAGTAGGAGCCATATAGATCAGTACTACTGAAAGTGTGGTCTGTGGACTAGTGGCAGTATGCAAACTGTTGGTTACTGGTTTGATGCGAGAGAAGAGTAAGGGTTTGGAAATTATAATAGTAATTTGGTATTGCTGCAAAGTGCAAGCATGCGATTTTGAAAAATTGTCATTTTTTGTCATAAATGCAACAAATTTAAATTTAATTTCTTAAATGATCCTTCATCATAGATAGTCTGAGATGTCCTGACTAGGTAACAAAAAGTGGACAGAATGCCCCAAGCTAAGGAAATAGCAAGTGGATGTTAGGCTGAATAATGAACCCCCAAAAGGTATCCAAGTCCTAATCTCTAGAACCCATAAATGTTCTCTCATATGGAAAAAGGGTTTTGCAGATGTGATTAAGTTAAGAATCTTTAGAAAAGGAGATTACCCTGGATTATCTGGATGGGCCCTAAATGTAATCACATTTGTTCTTATAAGAGGGAGGCAGAGGGATATTTGACACTGACAGAAGAGGAAAAGGCAATGTGGCCTTGGAAGCAGAGACAGATTAACATGGCTATGAACCAAAGAATGAGAGCAGCCACCAAAAGTCAGAAGAGACACGGAATGGATTCTCCCCTAAAGCCTCCAGAGGGAAAGTAAACCTATCTACATGTTGATTTTGGACTTCTGGGATCCAGAACTGTGAAGGAATAAATTTCTGATGCTTAAGACTCCAAGTTTGTGGTAATTTGTCACAACATCCATAGGAAACTAACACACAATTATGAAGACAAGGACGCACGAAGCAGCTTGATATATTCAGGGATCTATAAGGAGTTACACAATAACTAAAGGAAAATACACATGTAGGGAGGAGTAGTAAGGATAGGGAGAAAGAAGGAGGCAAGGACTGGGAAGAACAAGGATCCCAACTTCATCTCATACTGGGGTTGGAATAATTAAAGAGAAAGACTTTAGAAACCATTCAGTTCTTAGTTGGTAGAGTGTAGTTGTATCCTACATGGACTAAAGCACAAAGGAATATTGTTTTTTGAACTCAATGCAAGAAAAAATAAGAGCATACCTTGCATGTATCTATAAATTCAAACCAAGTTGTGTGAATTGATGTATACTCTAAGCTCAGCTTTCTTAGGGGAGAAGAACAAGCCAAATCTGAGGATAAAAGAGGAGAAGGTATATTATTTACTAGTTAATAAGGAGTGGATGCTATAACAAGCTAAGAACTAGTAAAAACAAATCTTCCAATTTGTCTAGCCTGAAACACATTCACACACACTCAGATACATTGTAAAACCAGCCTATCATACTAAGCCAAAGGAAAAAGGAAAACCATTAAAAAAAAAAAAAAAAAAAAAAAAAGAGTGGGGAAAGACTGAGGACTGGCAATTGCTAGTGACATGTTTACTAAATATATTCTAAAACATTAAACATAACATTGGAAAGCAAAAGAGCCAAGTGGTTGGAGAAGCCCACTGATTACTATTCAGGTTTGGTCTCTGATCTGTTTTCTCGGCACTTGGCTTCACAACCAGAGCTCAGCCAAATAAATCTGCATCTCTGGTGTCTCCAGGCAACTCCGAACTTGGCATTTCTGACACAGGAGAGCTAGCCAGGAAACCCCTCTTTGGAGGGGAACCAATGGGCCAGATTCACTCTATCAACATCCAGACATCATAGCTAATTACAAACACACAGGACCAACCTGACAGCCAACTCTGTAAGTAGCAGACACCAGCATTCCCCAGGGAACTGGCTTGGCTCCAGTGAGTACTCCCAGTGACGAGAACCCTTTTAAGCAAGACACTCCAAGGGCTCACCAGATTGTGATGGGTTTTGTATGGCCATGTTAAGACATTCTACCACCAGCCCCCAACCCCAGGAATACCAAATTTCTATTCAGAGAAAGTGAATGGAAATCCCTAGCAATAAGAGTATATTCAACATTGTAGAAATACAAATAAATAGCTAATCACATCCCTGCCCTCACCCATCTGGTGCTAAACTCCTTTTAGATTGGAGCCTAGGAAAAATTCTAGAAAGGAAATTGGTAAAACCCTTGACCCATGACTCAGGGAGAAAATAGTCATATTTACTTCCTGTAGAAGCCCATGATGTCTTTCCCTTTTCTGACATTTTCTAACAAGAAGTTATTCATCAGGAAAACTGGAAATTTGGCCACAAATGTTAAGATCTAGGCAATGAATTAGTCAAATGTTTTTATGGAGAATCCATTTGTACTTGACATTAATTTAGGTTGTCTGCTAGAAGGTCAGACTTCTTGGAAAAGTTGGGGCCATGAGAACAGAGTGCTATGTCACCAGATCCTGATGGCCTAAAGCATCTTGAGAAATGCACTCTGCTTCACACCCCTGCATCAGTGTGATCCTGGCACTTGTGTTTGTTATAGGAGGGTTATATAAGTGGCTGGTTTAATCATATTACTCCAGTGGCCTGCAAGTAAGTGACACATCAACAGCCTAGATAGCCAACATCACTCAACTCAACTGAGCCAGAGCATTGAGCCAATATTCTGCATGGAGTCTTTACATCCCTAAGACAATTATATTATTGTGCAATTTGCCCCCATAATGTGGATCTTGGCTCTTAGGAAGAGTTTATTAAAGCTGATTTTTAAATTCCCTCTCTAGCCCATCTGTTCTGCATCCCTTTAACAACTTTTTGGGCTACATTTGACTAGGTAAGAGCTTTATGCATTAATCCTGGTTAGATGGTAGAGAACTTTCCTAAATCTTTCTTCCTCAAATGGAACCATAATGAGGATGTCTAACTTATTTTTTTCTGATGAAGGAATGTACATTTCTGCATAAAAGAAAGATTTGGTATCCAGAAATCACAGCAGCATCACATTCTAGTAATCCTTCATGTGTCATACTTGGAAAGATGATCAAGTAACATTATCCCATTTGTATTCCATTGTCCTTTTACATGTTGCCACTTTCAGCCCTAGGTTCTTAGACCATGTGCACATCCGTCACAGAGGATCCTTTATCTTGAGCATTCCAAGGGTCTATGGCAGAATACCAGTCCTCCTTCCACATCCTACACTAGTCCAGGAAGAAAACTGTGTCGGGAAAGAGAATAGCCCTAGTAGAATGACCTTTACTGAGGCCTGACATATGCTACCTTATAAGCTTCTTATATACTCAGCCTAATCCACCTGGAGGCTTTGCTGCCTGATGGAAGGTGATAAAAAAGTTGTTACGCTATAAGCCCTGTCTTAGATTCAAGGCATGTAGGCTGTGTAAGATTCTGAGGCTTAGAGCAAACAGAGGGGGAAATAATTCTTAGTTCAGGGGCAATTCTCAAGATGCTTATTAGGATGAACTCTGGTCTAAGAACAACTTTATTGGTATGAAAGTCAAGGCAAGGCTTCCTAATAGGAAGGAGGCTCCCAGCTTCCCAACATTTCAGAGGGGCTAATGTAATGGTGATCATAAAACTTGACAAAATCCGCCAGGAACCAAGAAGCCCAAGTCTAGAAATTTACAATCCACAGAGGATCAACAGCTTGTATTCTGGATATCTTAAAGGTGAATGCTCTAAAACACCCATCTGCCGGTGGTGATGAAAACCTGGATGCCCACAGTTATAAATAATTCAGTCTGTTTCTTACAGCAACTAAGGCGAGGGCCTAAATTCAAAATTCAACTGGGTTTTTTATTTACACCCTTGGCCAAGAAAAGAAAGCTCATAGATGGAGCTTCTAAGAATAATGGAAGCATATCTCCAAGGAGAGACGGAGACTTTGAGATACCTTACTAAAAAATTGCTTCTCCGAGTAAAAGGATAATTGCTTCTCAGAATCACAAAATGAAATGAAAATATAAACTATTTTTTAATAATATTTATTTTATTTTATTTTGTATTATACTAAGTTCTAGGGTACATAAAAAAGAAAAAAGAAAATATAAACTATAGTGGAGGAACTAAAAATCGTAAAAATGTTATTGTATTATGAAAGATTTTTATTTTTAATATTTGTGGGTACACAGTAGGGGTATATATTAATGGAGTACACAAAATACCCTGATACAGGCATACAATGTGTAATAATCACATCAGGGTAAATGGAGTATCCATCGCTTCAAGCATTTATCCTTTGTGTTACAGACCAATTATACTCTTTTAGTTACTTTAAAATGTATAATTAAGTTATTATTGACTATAGTCACCCTGTTGTGCTACCAAATGCTAAGTCTTATTCATTGTTTCCATTTTTATTTTGTACTCATTAACCAATCCCATTTCCCTCCTACTTCTCCTACCCCCACTTCCCTTCCCAGCCTCTGGTTACCACCTTTCTATTCTCCATCTCTATGGGTTTAGTTGTTTTGATTTTTAGCTCCCACAAATAAGTGAGAACATGCAAAGTTTGTTTTTCTGTGCCTGACTTATTTCACTTTACATAATGACTTCCAGTTCCATTCATGTTGCTGCAAATGACAAGATCTTATTCTTTTTATGGCTATATAGTACTCCATTGTGTACCACATTTTCTTTATCCAAACATCTGATGATGAATACTTCAGTTGCTTCCAAATCTTGGCAATTGTGGACAGTGGTGCAATAAACATGGAAGTGCAGATATCTCTTTGATATACTGATTTCCTTTCTTTTGGGTATATACTCAGCAATGTGATTGCTGGATTTTATGGTAGCTCTATGTTTAGTTTTTTGAGGAACCTCCAAACTGCTCTCTATAGTGGCTATACTAATTTACATTCCCACCAACAGTGTACAAGTGTTCCCTTTTCTTCATTTCCTCACCAACATTTGTTACTGCCTGTCTTTCGGATAAAAACCATTTTAACTGGGGTAAGGTGGTATCTTGTTGTAGTTTTGATTTCTTCTCTCTGATAATCAGTGATGTTGAGAACCTTTTCATATGTCTGTTTTCCATTTGAGAAATATCTGTTTGAATCTCTTGCTCCTTTTAAAATGAGATGATTAGATTTTTTTTCCTATAGAGTCATTTGAGCTCCTTATATATTCTGGTTATTAATCCCTTGTCAGATGGGTAGTTTGCAAATATTTTCTTCCATTCTGTGGGTTGTCTCTTCACTTTGTTGATTGTTTCCTTCGCTGCGCAGACACTTTTTAACTTGATGTGATCCAATTTGCTCATTTTTGCATTGGTTGCCTGTGCTTGTGGGGTATTCCACAAGAAATTTTTGTCCAAACGAATATCCTGGAGAGTTTCCCCAATGTTTTCTTGTAGTAGTTTCAGAGTTTGAGGTGTTAGATTTAAGTCTTTAATCCATTTTGATTTGATTTTTCTATATGGTGAGAAATAGGGGTCCAGTTTCATTCATGAAAGAATTTTCTTGCACTAAAGCAAAAAAAAAAATGGGACTTTTAGTGCTCAGCAAACACACTTCAGAGGAAAATTATTTACAGTCTGCATTGAAAGAAAAGTTTCTTCCTTTTAATAAATTTTCAGTGTTAAAAAATCTGGTATATTGGAAAGATATTTGTCCACTGATAAACTGTTTACATTTTTCTCTCTCATATATTACTGAGTAGATTATAGAAATATAGAATATCTATATTATATCTATGTTACCATTATAGCTATATTACCAATATCTATATTATTATTGATCAGGTGGCATATATCCCACCTGATATGTTGTTGGCAGGTGTAAGATAAATAAGTCTCATAGTCACTGACATCACCAATTCTGTGTCCTTTGAAATTTACACATATTTGAATATCAGAACTTCTGAGAAAGCCTATCCTTCAGGAGGAGTGAGTGATACACATAATTTCTTCACAATTATAATAGAATCTCCATCAATACTCACAACAGGGAATGATTTTAGCCTCATTTCATAGAAGAAGAAAATGTGAGCCTGGGAAGATTCAGTGACTTGCTCAAGGTCACACAGCTAGGAAAGGTTAGAATTGGCATTCCTGATTCTCAATCTTGTGCTCTCTCCAGTACAGTATGCTGCCTTTAGTCTGAACCCTAAATGGACCACATTCCAGAACAGCTAATGATATTCATAAATGCCATTATGAGTAAGTGATTTATCTTACCCAATTTCCATTCTTCCTGAAAGAGATGTCTGTATTTGCCATGAGCTAAAACAGTAGCATTCTACCTACCTGGCAAGAACATGACTCCCCTGAGTTGCTAAGTTTAGGCACATCAGATAAAGTGGAAGAATGTAAAGTTACAATGATTTTATATCTCCCAGTTGAGATAATATTTCTGAGAACCACTTGGAGCTGAATAAATTGAACAAGTGCCGTTTTGATTAGTTTCAAAAGACAAAGTATAGTATTT